TACCGTTAATATTTTGGTCCAAAATTGCCCTTATTGTTATTTAATGGGTAAAAAAATGCTCATTTTTCAAATAAAATTTTTTTTAACACATTCTTTTCTAATAATGTTTTTTTTTAAAATTAGCAAATGTTTATCCTACTTCAATTTAGAAAAAAATAAAAAATGAAAATATTTCTTATTTTTATCGTTATATAAATATAAATTAATGATGGATATACTATAATCTTATATATGACATATATTATATGTCCAAAGGATACATGACGTTATTCTATTTTAATTGATAAAATGAGATTAAGAAGAAAAAATATATTTCCTACCTTTTTATTTGTAAAGTGATTTTAGAAGAAAGAAAACAAGAATAGTGTTCTTCAATAATATTTTAATTAGGACGAAGATGTGTTTAAAAAGAAAAAATATATATTTATTCTTCTTAATCTCTTTTATCAATTAAAATAGAATAACGTCATGTATCCTTTGGACATATAATATATGTCATATATAAGATTATAGTATATCCATCATTAATTTATATTTATATAACGAAAAAATAAGAAATATTTTCATTTTTTATTTTTTCTAAATTGAAGTAGGATAAACATTTGCTAATTTTAAAAAAAAACATTATTAGAAAAAGAATGTGTTAAAAAAAATATTTATTTGAAAAATGAGCATTTTTTTACCCATTAAATAACAATAAGGGCAATTTTGGACCAAAATATTAACGGTAAGGGCATTTTGGACCAAACTACAAACGGATGGCATTTTTGTTCCTTTCATATAGTTTAAGGGCATTTTTGAACCAAAATATTAACGCTAAGGGCATTTTTGAGCCAAATTATAAACGGAAGACATTTTTGTTCCTTTCACATAGTTTAAAGGGCATTTTTTACCCTTTTCCCCATATAATATAACAAATCACTTGTATCACAATGAAGGTAGAGAAAGTAAACATGGCATTATGTGAATAAAAATAATAGCTAATGCTTATTTTTATGTCGATGATATGATGGGCTACAAAATGAATATAGGGAAAATAAACATGAGCATTATGTAAGATAAAAAACAGTAGCAAGAGGAAAATAAGCATGAGTATCAGAATGAGTAGCATTCTGAAATTTTTGATGTTCCTTTTAGTTCAGATGACGTAGATCATTGGTGAAACTCATATTTTTATGATAAGGTTCATAATACACAATCATCTGTTGTTGGTTCACTATTTTCATTTAAACTCCATTTTTTAGATCACATACCGTTTATAATTTAATTATGATTTTTTTGCAAAATACTTGTCATGAAAGAATACATAAACAAGAAGTGATCAATCTTTCTCCTCTCTAGTTTGCCAGAAAGGGCAATTTGCCTTCTGAAATTTTCATGGAGGGTTAGCCATAATATAAAGGGAAAAGGGTCTAAAATATATCCGAACTTTGACCGAAATTGCAATAACGATATCAAACTTTGGAAATTACCTTTTACCCTACATTATTTAATAGTGTATTTTAAAGGTATATATATCCACGTGGACATCATAAATATTGCATAATATATATAATAATGTGTCCACGTGGGCACATATATACCTTTTAAATACACTATTAAATAGTGGAGGGGGCTGGATAAAAAGTCTTCCATAAAGTTTGGTATCGTAACAGCAATTTCGGTCAAAGTTGGAGTATTTTTCAGATCATTTTCCCTAATATAAATACATGTTTTAATTCAACAACGTTGTAAACACATTAAATTATTTCAATTAAAATCTACCATATCTTTTTTCGTACAATTCTGTATGCTTCAAAAAAATCTGAAATTTTCTCTTATGTATAAACTGCTCATTCTTAATAATGTTGAACACTTTTCATATCATCCAAGATTCAGCTTATGAAAATTCAAGACTCTTGCATTGTAACAATTTGTTGCGCAATATCTTTTGTTAAGTTCATCAAAATACGAGTGAATATTATTTCTCAATCATTACGAAAGCATTAAACAAGAAACAAAAACATGGCATAATAGCTAAACGAGTACAATATGAGCACGACAACAACAAAACTGTGAAGATTAATTGAGAAAATCAAGTAGTTTAAAGTAATTTGAAAAAATATATATTAAGAGCAAGAACTGTAATTGCGTAAAAAATAAAAAATAAATTAAAATCAAACGAGCACTCGAGTAAAAAATTCGAGAACAAATCATAAAGTTAACTTTAAAATAAAATAAAATCACAGTGTTGATTATGAGGTATTGAATGGAGTACATACAGTCAATATAAATTGATTAATAATATATTATTTGCTCCTCGTATTATACGATGTAAAAGTCATAGTAATAAGATTAAATGATATTAAAAATAATTTCACATTCAAATTTCGTATTCTACTAATCTGCCCGACTTATGAAAAATAGCTATTGTAATTTGATTTCTACTTTAATTTCATACAATTTCAAATTTGATAGGCCAAAGTTCAATCTTAAATTCAAATTTCACTCTATTTACACTGATTAAAAGTGAATACGTACGATATTAAATACATTTTTAATATAAAAGACATCACTACAAATATAATTTTCTATTTTAGTTTTTTAAAAATCATAAACTAAAATTATTAAATTGAAAACCAAACACTTGCAAATGGTACAAATTCTTAAATTAATTTATAGTATTTTTTGCTAAATAAATTGTTCACTACTTGATAACAATTCAATACATACTAATTAACTTATAAACGAGTATACATTAAACATTTGTGCAAACTTGATAGAAAAAATAAAATTTATCTATCTTTATAGGCACAATTAAAAATATAATATTAATCAATATTTATGATAATGCACGTGTTTGATAATTTAAAAGTAAAATTATAGAATTTTCATAAGCATGTTAGGGAAAAGAATAATGAATTCCATATAATTGTATTGATATTAACCTGTGATAAGCGTGGATATTTGTATTAACTCAAAGCATGTATATAATAGGGTATTATACTATTGCTCATAACATTTTAATTCAGACCTTCATTTCGAATTCATTTATCCTTACTTTATGATGTTCAACTATTATTACTATTTTCGTGAAAAAAAATATTTTTACATATAATAGCTTAATTATCTATTGCATATGAGATATTGATGCTTTCGAACCTAGCCAGATTACTACAAATGCAAAATTACACTTGTTTAATATAATTTGTTCTTCCTCGTCTTCCGTCAAACTTTTGTGATACTCAAAGGGCTCAAAAGAGTTATATAGTTCTCAGCAGTACAATTTATCCTTGCATAATTTATCAAAACATATGTCACCATGTTTTTTTTTTGAACTTATGACAGATTATCGAATTTCTTAGTTCCTTCAAATTAATACCTACCTGATATGAGAAATATGTACACTAT